GGTGAAGAGGCTGGATGCAAGTGCAAGTTACTTTTATTTAAATCAGACTTTAAATGAGTCCAGAAACTCAGTAGCATAGGTTTGTGGAACGGATGTATCCATGATAAAACAAAACAGAAACAAAACCTATGACCAGAGAAAACCAAGTATGTAGACAATGCAAGACCAAGAAACTGAGCAAACAGTGGGGTATAAATACTCTGAGGGGAAACTAAAAACACCTGGGACTAATAGGAAGGCAGGGCTACAAATTACAGGCAGGTGGCACATGTGACAAGGGGGCAGGACCAGGGAGCAGACAGACCAAAACAACAAGAAAGGCACATGGCACAAGAAAACAAAGGCACATGGCACTGGGAAACCAAGAAAACCAAGATAAAGGCAAAAACAGAGAAAGACAGGGACAAAGAGTGACAGGATGTTACACCCTGATAGTAGAAATGGGCATTTTTAGCTATTTAGCTATTTTCTTGTAGTCCTTTCCTGATTTGTGTGGCTCAGTATCTTTTTGTCATACATAATTGCTGTATTCTCTGTTTTTTCTCATGATAATGGATGACTGAGGGAATTTGGCCTGTCATATTCATACCCAGTGAAAAAGGAAGTCATGGCTGACCATTTAAATGTTCCTAATCACTCAGCTGAACTTAAAACATAAAATATGAATAGGAAAATACTTCCATTAGATTTCTTTCTTAAGAATTTCTAGGGGTGCCAACAACTGTGGCACACATAGCCTTTTAGATTTAAGAAAAGTATTTCATTGATATTTCATGACAAGATTTAGTTTTTTCTTTTAATCATTATATCTTAAATAAAGACTAGATTTTTATTAATATTGTGAGTGAAAGATCAAAATGACAAATTATTGAGAATGTTTGTTTTTTATAGCCCATTTTGCTCATGATTACCAGAGATGCCAATATTTGTGGAAGGCACTGTATACTCTTTTTGCAAGGGAAGTCATTTAGCACCGTTGCCCTGTCAGTGAGAAAGCGACAGTTAAGCAGTGCAAATTTCAGTCCAATGAGTAGTGGCAGGACAAACACGCACAAGTGTATTCTCAGCCGGAAACGGAAACAACTAAATGGCGTGCTGGCTGCTGATGAAGTACTGCTGAGTGTTCCTCAGTCTGGCCTACGCATGCATGTTCTATGTGGCATAAAGCCAGAAGTCATCCATATTTTTTCAGTACTTCTTCTTTCAGATTTTAAAAGATTTAAGGACTGAAGCTGATGTTTTCAAATGTGCTCCTTCTAGCCATCCAATTCAACAGAAGCTCAGCATAGCTTCAATGTCTGGTGTCCCCCAGAGGAGGATGCGGTCCAACTTTTGAGCCTTGGCCTTTTCAGGGAATTTTTCCCTCTATCACCTGTCACCAGGAGTTTGCTTATTAGGGTGTTGGATCTGGACTTTTTTTTTCATTTTGAGACACTGAGACTTCATCCATGTTCTGTAGATCTGAAGTTCGCAATGAGATTTTTGGTCTCTTTTTGTCTTGAAGGGGGAAAATATTTCTTACATCTTAGTTGCTTGGCTTTTGTGTCTCTGTGAGGATTGTGACATGTTCCTTGAGAACGTTATTGTGACATAAGATAAGAACTTGATTTTGCCCATCTACAATCTATTTTACCATACATGGCAGCAGCTAGAAGAACCAGTTAAAAGATGAACATTTGGTAACCTTTAATACCTTGTGCCTGACTTAGAGCAATTCTTTCTGATGTCATTAAGATGGAGGGACACTATCTTTGTTGACTGAATCTCACCAGTGACACTTTGTCCAGTTATGTGTCTGAACCAATCCAAGTCTGCATTATAATAGTATTGTAATGTAGTTTTGATTTGTAATGATGAACCGAATCAGAGTTTTAGCCAACTGATTTCTTTCTTTAAGCTTATGCTTTATTTAAGCTTTTGCATGTGAAGTGATGTGTGTTTGTGTGACCTTAGTGATTGGTTGTGATTATTTTCCTCCATTTTTATCCAGTCTTTAATTATGTTTCCTTCATTCTGAAAAAAACATTCTTCTTTTGAAATTTTATAATCATTTTTCTTCTTTCCTCTTCTCAAAATTTTTATCTTTTATCTTATCTTTATGCTGTAGTACATTACCCAACAGTGGTAATCTTGCAGTAGTATCACATGCTATTGTCTAAAGTGTACAATATAAAAAGTACACTGCTCTGCACGTACTGTTTTAAGCCATGTTTAAAAGCCATTCTTTTTCAGAAAAGATGTTATTGTAAAATAGTTTACCTTGTAGGAGTTTCACTGTGACTGTTTCAGTAGTGAGGCCGGTACAGAGCTGCCACCGCTGTTTTCCATCTCTAACAGCCCATTGATTAAGCTGCTGCTCGTATTCAGTCAGTGAAATATCTAGGACTTCCAGAAGGCTTCGATTTTTCTCATTATTTGGTTGATTCCTTTGTCACTTTGTGATTATGCTGATAGTTAATCTAAGGGGTTAGGACTTCTCTTCAACTCTGGAAGCTGTAACCAATAGGGAAGCCCACTCAGCTATATGTACGTAGAAACCACTGAGAAAAAAAATTGGCCAACGCTCAGCGTTTCAAGAATTAACCCTTTTGTTTCCATCCAAAACTTTAGAATGAGCAGTACTGTAATACTTGCAGAGTTAATATACAAACACGTTTCTGTTTAGACAAATGAACTAAAAATTACAGACATGTATTTTTGAGTTCGCAGAAATCATTAGGTCTTCTCTAAAGGCCTAGAAAGCTCTGAGGGTTCCCCTGGTGTTTGTTTATTGGTCAGAAATTTTGCAGGGATACAAACAAATTTGTTACTCTCACATTTGCTACCATGAAAACAGAAATGTTGTAAATGAAGTGCATGTATGCACTGGAAGTAGTTGCCCAAATAGAGATGTATTAACCCTTGTGTGGTGTTCTTGTCTGTTTTCAGTATTTACCAAAAGAAAAAATCATGTGATTTATTATTATTTCAACCCCAGATTCTTTGGCCTTTGCACATTTTCAGTGACTTCACACTGTAACCCCCTACACATTTATATTACAAATGTGGTGTTGGGTGAACCCACAGGGAATAAAACTGTGGAGGTGCTGTGTCCCTTCACATTGTTCTCTTCCTACATGACCTGTTGTTAGTGTGTGTGTGTGTGTGTGTGTGTGTATGTGTTTGTATATGTGTGCGTGTGTGGAGGTGGTCAACATGGACAGGCTGCTGACTGGCCACAGCTGCTAAAGGAGAACCTTACGCTGACCACTTGTGACGTTTTAAATATCTGGTATTTTTCAAGTTGATTTGTATTCATTTAAAAAAACAATGATGCGGTGAGTCCATCAAACCCACTGAGTAACAGAAACATGAACACCACACAACGGTCATGTGTGTTGCACTTGTTAGGAAGAGCTTCTTTTGGAGCTTTCTGATTAACTCTTCAAAAGCTACTGAAATGGTTTCATAAAAATCTATTTCCAGAATTCAGAAGAACTTATACTTGCTAATATAAGAGATAAATTAATATTTATCAGAATTTTATATTGCTAAAGCTAGCTACATATTAGAGGTTAACCTAGGAACCTAATAATTTAAGGAGTGTAGTGTGTTGTATAAGAGGCACTTAAGCATAGTATATACAAATGACTAAATTTGGTCATTGTGTTTTCTTTTTTTGGGTCTTACCATTTTCTCTGATTATCAAAGTTTGAAAATACCACTTTTTAAAAACTGGTCTTATGCACTTCATCCAATCTTTGGTCTGCCCAGCATTAAAAATATTGGTACACTGTTAGAAATAAAGATTCTGTGCAGGTGTATTTTTGTTTATCAAGGTGCAAACAATGTAAATTTAGAGGTACAACAGTGGTTTTAAGGTCTAATTGTGTAGTTTTTCCCAGGTGAAAAGTGCATATTTGTATGTTTTCGTAATCGAATGTTTTAAAAGAGAACAATAAAATAAAAAGCCTGGAGACGAGACGGGGTGTGGAGTCAATACAACTAAATAAAATATGATTTTAATGGATTATGGTACAATTATGTTCCCTGACTAAAGGTACTGAGATGTACCCTTGAGGGTACCACCCCAGTGACAAGAGGGCTACTGCCCCAGTGACAGTGTCATACCTTTTTTCTGAGAGTGTAGGAGATTTTGATAGTCTAAGTCAGAGGGTAAGTTAAGTTTAAAGCAGAGTCTGCATTACAAAACAAAAAAAACAACAAAGAAAAACCCTTGAAAACAGACTGAATTGACATTAAAAGTACAAAAAATGTTATGCTAATGATATGCTTATGTACAGTAGGACCACTCAAATTGTTAGACCACCTGTAGCAATAATTGAAATCTCTGAACATGAACATGAAATGTATTTGTAGGTCTTACCTTGATTGCTGTGGTCCCTTCTGAAGGTCTCTCTGTATGAAGCTTCCGAATAGTAACCACTGTGCACCAGTGAAAAAACCTCAGAAGAAAATAAAAACACCTTGTGGTTGCTTTGTGTCTAGCATGCCACAAGACAGAAGAGGAGAAACTTGGGTCTATATAAACACTGCCAAGTGCTGGCATCAGCATCCTGTAGTGATATCACTCACTGTACACATGCTCAGTAGTGTCTATCGTCAAAATGAGGAGGAACAGAACATAAACTTTAATAGAACATTAAGGAAAGAAAAAAGAAGGCTAGTAAAGTTAGTAAAACCAGAATTAGCCAGTTACATGAGAGCAGAGTTGAGTATAATAGATTACACCCATACTCAAGTAAAGATATTGTTACAAAGAAAATGAAAAAAAAAAACTGAGTAACTTACAGCACTTCACTGTTTAGGCTCTATTCCTCTATTTTTATGCAGTCTTGGTCTAACATAACATGATAAGGTGTGACTAATCACAAAGCACTGCAGGCTCCATCACCAACATAAATGAAATAATAATGAGTACAATATGTGTTTATTAAATGCTTAAAAATTTCATCAAAGCTGTGCTTGAGTACATAACTGAGAAAATATAACTACTACTCACCTCTGCATGAGAGTGCGCCACTGCAAAAAGGAAATCATGTTGAAAATATATATTTCTCTCATAGGCTTAGTCAACTAATATGTTACAACTGAACCCTTACCTGGCCAGTATGATAAAAAAAAAATCCCTTCAAAAATGTAACACAATAATTAGGCGGAAATCTGTCAGAAGGGTTCTGGAGAATGACTAAGATAACATGCATACAGTGTTGATTTACAGTTGATGGAAATATGGATGGATAAGGATGGATGTTGCCAGCATTCTCCATATACTGCACATTTGATCATAACAGCACATTCCAGAAATTCCAGGATGAAATAAGAACAGTCATGGAGATCCTGAGTGATGGCATCCCAAAGTATGGGGCCACAGCACTAGAAGATATGCCTTCACTCAGGGTGAACCTAAATATAATAATCTATTTTGCTAATAATTATCACAAGAATAATATTTGTATACAATTTATATTTAAATGTGTTCGTTTAAGTGTAACAACACACACACACACACACACACACACACAACAACTGAGAGCCAATGTCCCCAAGCAATACCACCATTACCCATCAAGATAGGACTGTCTAACAGAGTGGACAGTGAGTGGACACTGTTTAAAAACACCAACAGCTGAGACTGTGTCTGATCCACTCATACCAGCGCAGCACTCACTAACACTGTGGTGGTCCTGACCATTGATAAGCGGGGTAAAAGGGGGCTAACAAAGTGTAGAGAGAAACAGATGAACTACAGTGTGTAATTGTAGGATTTAATGAAGTGGTCAGTTGGTGTATCTAGATGTGTTAAGGTGTATCTAGATGTGTCCACAGGGCAGGGTTGAAGAAATCACAATCCACTGTTCAAACAAAGTTTCAAGACCAAAACCAGAGAGGTTCTGTTTGTTGCAAACCAGTCAACAGCAGTAAGAACTGGAAGCCCAGATTTGAATTCAAAAAAGAAGTACAGATATAAGCCATAAAAGTTCTAGAACAAAAAGTTGGGAAATCACCGCTGAAGGTGGTTGAAGGACAGTTGCACTTACTTCATCAGTGCAACAGTGAAAACTCACCTGCACTATTGGAGACGTTTGGGAAGATCTTAGTCAGCTATCGACTCTATGAACTGTGAACAACAAACTCAACTGATTTTCCTGGACGTTTGAGAAGTTTTCTTCCCCTCCTGCTGAACACAATTCTTAAATCTTACATAATACAAAAACACTGTTAGGAATACCTTGGTAAGCTCTTTTAAGCAGCAGAGAGGAAGGTTTTTTGCAGATGAGCTGATCTAGTCAAACTGGATATTAAACAATATTTAAAAACACTTTCACTTCCCATTTCTTGTGAAAACATGATTTCATAGATGCCTTCTCATGAAACTGCACCCCCCCCAAAGATGCCCAAAGAAAACAGAGAATGTTCTAGTAAAACACAGAACAAAAGCACATCGCCAACAAAAGCGACTGAAAACACAAACTAAAACACAGCACACATATGGTAGCAGTCCTCTCTCTTCAGTCGTTTGAAGGCCGACTTTTAAGGTTTAGGCTCCTCCCCCAGATAGTATACAGATAGTATTCTGATTGGTCAGAGGCCCTATAGGCAGAAAGCAGACACACCTATGAAGGAAGAGACCACGTGACAAAAAAACTTGCTTCCACGTATCATAAGGGTTTTCTATGCATATAGATAGCACTTTCCTTCAACCACCTTCAGCTGTGATTCCCCCACTTCACCAGAAGATATTTAAGCTACGTTCACATTACAAGCCTCATTGCTCAAATCCGATTTTTTGCTCAAATCTGATCTCTCTGATATTTAGCGCACTAAATGGTTTCTGATCCTCATACAACATGCAATGTAAGAAAAGGAGAACATGTGGAAACACAAAGCAAATGATCATTTACTGAAAGAACAAATTTTGCAACACTAATGGAAAAACAGCACTGGAAAAAATGGAATGTGAAAAAATAAAATGTTTCATAGTAGCCTATTATTAATGTGCAATAACCTATTATTTCCTGCACAGTTAAATTTCATCACATTTGCTTCTGCAGTGGATTGTTGCCAGCTTTTGGCAGTCAGAGACCCCTGGGCCCTGGTCTCATTGGAACGGTCAGTAATCCAGTCTTGACTTCATTTTGGACACTCTCTCCTTTTAGATGATGTTGGTCATTGACTTATTTTGGGGAATAATACTCATAAATTGTTAGTATCATACAAATGTGTGCACTGTCAAATATTCTGACTACTTTTCTGATTTTGATCATTTGGATTTCCTGCTGAAGTTAATGAATGCAAAAAATTAATTAATGAATTCAGCTCTCACAACAAGGAAGCACTGAAGTTGAATAGAATTAGCGAATATTAAATTATTCAAAATGAAAAGTAAAATAATGTTAAGACTGCTTATAAATTCAGACAGTACTATTTCAGCCTTTCGATTTGTAATAGGCTATTCTGTCCTGCGCAGTTATATAATAATCCTGACAATTCTTTTGGAAAAAATAGATTTTTGGAGTAATTTTGCATCTCTGAAAGTTTACATCTATCCTTCATTTCATTTCAGTTCTAAAGTCAAACAGATAAACTTCTGGCATTTTTATCATTTCACATTTTTTATATCACTTTTTTTTGTCATTTGTGCAAAAGGTTATTCTGTAGGGGACATAGATAAGTGAGCTGTTACTTACCATTTATATAATCATGCGCATCTTGTCCTAACAGCAAGTAAAAGTAGTACTGCATCATGCTGCAAATCCTTCAAGACATCTACACTGGAAACCCCAAGTCTGCATGTCAATACGTAAACAAACTATGGACGTATCAGCTAATATCTCGAGACTTCAGTTCCAAACTGGGAGAGTGTTCTAGCTACATTACTAACATGCAGCATGACAATGCATGTAAAATAGAAACACACCAAAAATGACTCACTGCATCACATTGCATCACTTCCTGACACTCACAACTGTTGTAGACAGCTTTATTGATTCCATTGGGCGCATTGTGGTTTTGCTGTCTCTCGATCACATGACTTTGTGTTAAGACTGGTGTTAGCCTTCCTCTGATATGTAGACTTGACATTTTCAGTGTTGAAATCCTGAAGGTTTTGTGATGCGATGTGATGCTACACTTAAACACTCAACTAATCTACCTTTAACTCTCATGTCCTTAAAAATCAAAAAGTATGCATTTCTATGTGGAAGAAGATGTTCTGTGGAAGAAGAACATGTTTGAAGCAGGTACTTCAAGTGCCAAAGATAACTATCACAGACTGATCAACAATGGCTATAGTGAGGTCTTTGAATATCTGGTTAGTATTTATTCACTCAGACCACTAATAATTATAATGAGTTCAAATAGTGTTAATAAAAAGTGCTGATTTTTTGTGCATCAACGTGTTTGTTCAACTGTTTCTAAACTTCTCCTCATGGAAGCTCAGTATGTTTGTAGTTATAATCTACTAGCATTACTGCTACTGAGTGCTGATCGGTTGGCATTACTGCTACTGAGTGCTGATTGGTTGGCATTACTGCTACTGAGTGCTGATTGGTTGGCATTATTGATACTGAGTGCTGATAAGCTGGAGAGCTGATTAGCTCATTGGCTGAATGAAGCAGTTCATGCATGAACGTCCATGAGGCACTGTTAGTCCCATAACTGTTCAAAAGGCTTTAAAAATATAACAGCAGTGTTGAAATATTTTGTGCTGAGTTGTTTTCAGAAAATTACTTTATTTTCTACATGAAAAATGATTAAGCATTTGCAAATTATGACTTTGAACTGAAGCTCTATAGGAGTTTACTCATTTTGGACTTGCTCACGAGTGCCTTCTAGCGTTTGACAAACCAGGAAGACATTTTTTAGTGGCAACTGTGGCAAATCTTATCACTAGAAATTCTTTGACCATACATTCTCTCCAGGATAGGTCCTCTTTCTGGATGTCCAGGTGGGATTTTGGATTTGCTTTTATGCTGACATTTGCAGAGGCATGGACTTGAGTCATATGACTCAAGTCCGACTCGAGTCACAAATTTGATGACTTGAAACTCGACTCGACAAAATGAAAAAAGACTTGCGACTTGACTTTAACTTAAACAGCAATGACTCGGACGTTGACTCAGACTTGAGCCTCATGACTGGGAAAGACCCAAAGTGGAAGAAATGTGGAGAAGAGTCTGACTGCAGATGGGACTCTACACAGCCGCTTACTTTTCATGTGAATGTTAAATATTGAGTGGATAAATGGAGTAGAACAAGTATTGCCTGCACACTGCTGAAAGGTCAGACAAGTCCTGGAATGTACATTTTTATTCCATTAAATAGAGTATAAAAAAAACAAAACAAACACAAACCAAGCAATGTTTCAGCTTTTTGCTTCTTGCTATCATAAGTGCTCAAGTCGGGCAATACTCTTTCTACTCCATTTAATTAAGATTTTTTTGCTTCACGCACCTGTAAAAACAACAGCGCAACAATAATTTTTGTTCCATTTAAGTGGATAAATGAACACAAATCCTAATAAATGTAAATACAGTACAGAATGTTTTCACACGTGGCAGCAGTGGCAGTGTTACTGTTTTAAATGCTTTACTTTCTACATATTTTGATAGTATGATTTTATTTTCCTTCTTTGGCGGCTCCTTCTTGTTTCACCTGTTTGGCTGTTTGTCATTGAAGTCACTCTTTCATGTGCCTGCACCTGAGTATCAAAACCTGGATTAATCAAAAAAGTAGTCAAAGCTTTTAAAAATAAGCCATAACATGGAAAATAAAGTGGATATAAAGTACTTGAATGATGCTACTGTGCATCTTCCTTTAATCTGTCGACAAATTTGTTATTTGCTGTACATTGTTTTTCTGTAACATTTCTCAAAATCAACATCAAAATCAAAACTTGGTAAAATATGACATTAAAGTAAGATGGTAAGATAAGGTAAGAAGGCAAAGATATGTTGCAGCTGGGCCAAAATTATGCAATTTTAAAGTAAAGTCAGAATCTACACCCAACACATGCACGTTTTTTCTCACCATCTCTATGGTCCACTTGTATACGTTAAATATGTTTTTTTTCCCAGGTGAAAACTACATATTTGTATCTTTTCATAACCTAATGTTTTAAAAGAGCAATAAAATAAAAAGCCTGGAGTGGAGTCAATACAACTTAGACAATATAATTTTAATGGATTATGGTACAATTATGTTCCCTGACTAAAGGTACTGAGCTGTACCCTTGAGGGTACCACCCAGTGAGAAGAGGGGTACTGCCCCAGTGACAGTTTCTGAGAGTGTATGCTGTTCCCAAAAATCATCAGAAATTATTATCTACAAATTTGATTTCTTAAAATTAAGTTTAATAGTACTTTGAAAATACTTTGAGAATCACTACTCTGTGTGTATAGCTGTACGCCTGTCATGGTTATCTGTGTACCATGGATTTTCAATTTTATTTGGAAAGGTAAATAATGGTAATAATAATAATAATATACGGCCACACACTACTAAATAATGCTGTCACTGAAAGGCTGTATTTCAGTCGCCATCATTTTTGGTGTTCATTGTTGAAATGGCCTAAATAAGCTGAAGAATGCAGACTGAATTGTTTAGGACTTGAAGGTTAGGACTTGGGACTTGACTTGAGACTTGCCTGTACTGACTCACGACTTGACTTGGGACTTACTTGTTACTTGCAACTTAGTGACTTGTTCCCACCTCTGGACATTTGCTTTCTACAGCCTTCTCAAGACAGTACTACTGTACATTTCAGTGTATAACGTACAAACTGTTTGTTATGCGCATGCCACCCATTTTGATCGATCATGTGATAGATGAGGGGGCAGAGAGGCAGAGGAGATGATTTTTTGGCATTGGAATACAAATGGCTGCGCTGTGCTCTAGTTTAATTCATCTTTGCTTCTGATGTCCCAGAACTCCCGATAGGCAGTCTGGGCCTGCTCATGGGTTTGTTTTAGGTGTAGCCCTTCTAAAAAATAGCCTGACCGTACATGTCACTCTAAAAGAATGGTCTGTGTGTGGTTATTTTGCATGTCTGGCCTTTCCTGACAAAGTAGGCAGTTTCTGGCCACAAGTAAATAACGAATAATATTACGAAGAAGAGTGCGAATCAAGCCTCAATTGCACACTACATGGCCCAAAGTATGTGGACACCTGAACATCACATCCATATGTACATCTCATTTTAAAGCCTTGGGCATTAATAGGGAGCTGTAGCAGCCTCTACTCTTCTGAGCAGGCTATCTACTAGATTTTGGAACTTGGCTGTGGATTTGCTTGCATTTAGAACAGCATATGTGAGGTTCACAGTGATGTAAAGGCCTGGCTCACAGTCAGCATTTCAGTTCATCCTGAAGGTAACTGATGGGGTTGAGGTTGGGCTCTGTGCCGGCCAGTCGAGTTTTTCCACATCAAACTCTGCAAACCATTTTTTTTATGAACCTCACTTTGTACACAGGGTTGTTTTCATGCTGAGCAGCTTGAGGGCCTTCCTCAAACTGCTGCCATTGTTGGAGGCAAGCAGTTCTTTAGAATGTTGTTGTATTCTGAAGCATAAACACTTCACTGGAAATATGGGGGCTAGGCCAAACAATGAAAAACAGCCCCAGACCATGATAGCTCTTTCACCGCAATGCATTCGAGAAGGTAGTGCTCTCCTGGCATCTGCCGAACCGAGATTCAGAACGCCACATGGTGAAGTGTGATTCACCACTCCAAAGAATGTGTGTTCACTGCTCAGTGAGTCCAATGGCGGTGCGCTTTACACTACTGCATAACCTTAAACTTGTATGTGGCTGCTTGTCCAACATGAACGCCATCTGTGTAGCTTTTGATGAACAGCTTTTGTGCTGATGTTGCTTCCAAAGGTAGCTTGGAATTTGGTAGCAGATGTTGCAACAAGTGATTTTCATTAGTGTCAGCACTCAGTGGTCCCATTCTGTGAATTTTTGTCGCGTGGATGAGCTGTCGTTGCTGGTAGATGTTTACATTTCACAATAATGGCACTGGCATTTAAAAGGGCAGCTCTAGCAGGGATAAACTGACCGTGGTATTCTATGATAATGTCATGTTGAAAGTCATTGAACTCTACAGTATGAGCCATTCCACTGCCAATGGTCATCTATGATTCTATGCACCAGTTAACAATGAGTGTTGCTGAAATAGTGGGTCCAACTAATTAGAATGGGTGTCCACATACTTTTGTCCCAATAATGTACAACCCCATTTCCAAAAAACTTGGGACTCAAAATGGGCTGCAAAATGTAAATAAAAATAGAATGCAATGATATGCAAATCATGTAAACCATATAATAAATTGAAAATAGTACAAGAGAAATTTTAGTTTTTTGAAAAAATACATGCCCATTTTCGAGTCAAGGCTTTATTGTCATTTCAGCTATATACACAGTGAAGCAAAACAACATTCCTCCAGGACCAACACAGGAACACAAGTGCAGACAATACAGTACAATAAATAAATACAAAAGACTTAAAATAAATACAAAACAGAACACAGGCAGTACACACCACTGAGAGTATGTGGAGTTATGCAAAGGAGGATGTAACATACAATATTTGGTTAATTCTAGCAGCTAACATTGTTAAAGTAAAATGTGCAAAAATACAAATCAGATGTTGCTGAGGAAATAAAAAGTGCAAAGTACAGGTAGTCAGATCTACAGTAATATCAACTGAAGTATTTCCAGTGAAATGCAGTAATTATACAGTGTTCCATATGTGTGTGTGGGTCCGTGTGGGTGTCCTTCAATTCAGTCCATGGGAGCTGAGGAATCTGATGGCTTGTGGAAAGAAACTGTTGCCCAGTCTGGCTGTAAGGGCCCGAATGCTGTGGTACCTTCTTCCAGAAGACAGAAAAGTTAGTGTGAGGGGTGTGTGGGGTTGGTCACAATGCTAGTGCCTTTTCGGATGCAGTTTGTGGTGTA